GAAAATGAGCTGAACAAAAATCTCTCTAAGGAAGACATACGAACAGCCAAAAAGCATATGAGGAAATGCTCAACATCCCTCATCATAAGGGAGATGCAGATAAAAACCACAATGAGATACCACCTAACCCCTGTCAGAATGGCAAAGATTAAGAATATAAAAAGTGACAAATGTTAGCAGGGTTGTGGTGAAAAGGGAACTCTCCTACACTGTTGGTGAGAATGTAAACTGGCTCAACCACTATGGAGAACAATATAGAAAGTTTCTCAAAGATCTACAAATAGAACTACCATTTGATCCAGCAATCCCATTTCTGGGTATCTACCCAAAGGACAGGAGAACGTTCGTTCAGTCAGAAAAATGCTTGACATCAATGTTTATAGCAGCATTATTCATGATTGCCAAGACATGGAACCAACCTAAATGTCCACAAACCAATGAATAGATTGGAAAAGTGTGGCATATATACTCTGTGGAATACTACTTAGCCATAAAAAATAACAAGACCTTGGCATTTGATAGAAAGTGGTCAGATATGGAGGATCTATTGCTGAGTGAAGTAAGCCAGGACATGAAAGAAAGATATTGTATGTATCCACTCAATATATACCGACTATCCACACTCTGTGGTAGAGAGCAAAATATTGGAGGACATAAAAGCAGTGAAAATACTTAAGGAGAATAAGACAGTGTGGAATGCGTGGGGGGAAGAAAAGAGGATAGAGAAAGATAGCAAGAGAACAAATAGAGAGGCATAACATTGGGACATAGATATGGCTTATTTCCTATTGATGATGACATGTATAGTATTCTCAACTGGATGGGTCTGAGAAGAATTTCATTATGGGTAAAGTGTTTTTACAAGCAAAATGAGAAATAGTGATTGACTGGTTAAAAAAATAATTGGAATAATAATAATAATGAACAGAAAAAACAATAAGATATTGAATGATGAATGGGGGGTTTTAATGTCTCGGTATTGACTGACACGCATGGCATTCCTTTTGAAAAAGCAACGTAATACACTGTAAAGTTATATGCAATTCAATGTAATATAAACAAGATTATGATGATAATAAATTAAAAATAAATAATTAATTAATTATGCATATCTATTAATACCAATTTAATTATTGCAGTAAGCTATATACTCCCAGCAAGGTGCTATTTTATAGTATGTTCACTTTACTCACTAAAACTTACACCTAACATGCGTTCTTAAATCTGTATATATCAGGACCAGCAGCTGAAGTAATGGCTTCATTACTGGACTCCCACGTAGTCCACCATGGTTCGAGTCCTGGAACCAGTGGCTTAAACTCATGTCAGGCAGATGTGTGTGCATCCCCAAGATCCCAAGAGGAGAATCGAGGAGAAAGGATTGTGGCATGGTGACCCCCTCTGGTGGGGGGCATATCTTGCTTTCTATCTATCTGTCTCTCTCTGTCTTTCTAGTGAGTGCACGTGCCCTCTAGCAAAAACCTCTCCAATAAATAAATGTGTATACATCAGCTGTGCTTGATATTGAAAGTCTTTAAGATCTTTAGTGAATCAATAAAATGTAAAAAAAAAAAAAAAAAATGGCATGAAAAACAACTGTATGTACCAGAGACAATGTGGGAGAAGAAGGGGAGTTGACAGAGGGTGAGAGGTAGGGAATCAAGGGAAAAAAGCAAAATATATAAGTAGCAAGAAATAGAAAATTATTTGTTGATAATAATATGTTTGGTAAAATCCTTGATTGAGCCAATATACAATGTATACTGAATGGAAAATCTCATTTTGTATACTGTATTGATGTATAGTAAATTACTATAAATTAATTAATTAATTTAAAAAATTGTTCAAAGAAAGCAAGCAGTCACTGGACCTCTAGGCAAGCCCATACAAACCTTCTCTAACTCTGACACATTCTAAGCCTTTCTAATACATATCACTGTGATTACATTTGAGCCACTTGAATAATCTCCCTACCTGAAGGTCCTTAACTTATACATCCAGTTATAGAAGCTGGATCCCTCATGGCTGATCATCACTCAAATCTCATCCATGGAGGCTTGAAAACCCCACCAGGTACACGTGTGAGTATGCTCCAAATCCCAAAAGGATAAAGAAATGGAAGAGGAGAAATGGAGAAATTATAGTGTGACCATGCCCCAATGTAGGGTACTTTCTCCCTCTGTGTCTCTGATGTGCTCATCCACCCTCTAGTAATTTAAAAAGAAAGAAACAAGAAAAAAAACTTCAAAGCCCAAATTAAGTAACTTAACAATTTTGAAGGCATCAATAAAAATATTGTCATTTAATGGAATGAATGACCTAGAATAATACATTTTCAGAGATCTTTTCAATTCTAAGCATATTCTGCCTCTCTTTGATCAGTTACAAGAGTATCTCCACATTAAGCAAAAGTATATCCAAGTATCTCCCAGAGTCTGGCCACACTGAAAGAGCCTTCAAGATAGTTGTGGCTTTTGCATGCTTTTTTCCAAAAGTGCAGTAATCTTAGGGCTTTTTGGTGTGCAGAGCTCATCTTCATCCTAATTAGTCCATTCTGAAACAAAATCACATTCATAGGGAAGATACTTAGAACACTATGGACATTCTAAAGGAAGCCACAGCAACTTAAAGCATAATTCTTTCTCAAGAATCAAAGCAAGGCAAAATTTAATTTAAAAAAAAAAAAATCAGAAATATCTTCTGTAATTATGACTCTGTTTCTACCAAGCTTTGCACACACACACACACACACAAAAATCTATGATCCTGTTGTTTGGAAATAGTTTAGTATTTGGAGATTAACAACCTCAACTGCCAGCTACTCTATCAATCCTGTTTAGATCAAAAATATTTCATTTATTAGAACAAATAAACAATGCTTTTTTTCTTTTTCAATTTTAATGTGTTCAAGTGGTTCAATAATTAAGTAACAGCTTATAGGCTTATAAACCTCCACAGTCCTTAATAAAGTTGGGTTTTTCTGTATCTCTTAATTTCAGAAAGTCCTTGATGTGTAGAAGGAGCTCAGGAAACCTACTGAATGAGCCATCTGATTGCATTAAACTAAAATCTCTCTACTTTACCTTTTTCCAAACAGTGCATCAACAAGGAAAAATTAAGGGTCATACCATGAAGAAAATTCACAATCTTTGTCACATCCTCCATTAAATTAGGTAACCAACTTGATTCATAAAGTTCACAACGCAGCACAGTGTCTCCTGTTAAATGACGCAATGGTGGCTAAGCATAGCAACCCCTAAGTTCTACTCTGAATACTTCCAAAACCATTTTTGTTTCAGTCACATAGTTCCAATTATTACTAACATACACATTGTTTTCACTTTTCATCCAAACTTCTCACATCTCTTTTTTGTATATGGTTGCATGAATCTATTTAATGGTTATATCTCTATGGTATAGGTAATTCGGTGAACATGTTTCAATAAAAATATGAGGTAGGATTCATACTAAGGTCAGACAGACCTTTTGGCTGAAAGTCTCTCTACAAACTTCATGGCACCTGCACGTGCTTTAGTAAAGGTAGAATCCCTTGTGTTCTAATAGGCCTAATCAAGCCATTGGCCTTTCTTTTAGCTCTCTTATGGCCAAATGGCAAGGGTCCTATATCCTGATGGTTGAAAATGTCAGACCTAGATCTTGACGTTAACTAAAAGCTTAATGTTTCTTTTTTAATTCTTCTTTTTTAAAAATAATTATTTATTTCATTTTATTTATTCATTCATTTATTTCAATTTGACTAGAGACAGAGAGGGAGAGAGAGAGAGGGAAAGCGAGAAAGCAAGCCATCAGGTCCAGGACTAGAACTGTGGTTGGCCATGTGGGAATGTTCAACTTCTTAAACACCACATCACTTGCTAGCCTCCAAAAAGCTTAATGTTTTAAAATTAACAAGTCATAGCAATCTTCATCTCCAGATGTATAAGGGAAACCTTTTATCTTCATATCTTATCTATAATTTAAACTTCAATAGGATTTAATAAGGATTAAATGAGAATAAGACATTTTAGCTAAAGCTTAAGTAGATTTATTTCAACCCTTATTATTTTTTTAAAATTCCAAAATACATTTATTTCTTTACCTCATTAAGAATTATCTAAAATATAATTATTCACTCAACATATAATTCTGAAAGATATTTTATGGACTAAATTTTTAATGTTAGGCTCTTTCATTGTATACTTTTCTTCTTAATCTTAAATTTAGGAAGCAGAAAAGAATCTGGGTAAGAAAATTTAATGACACTCGTCATTACTAAACACCATCTCAAGACATACATACAATAACTAAACAACACACCTGATTGAATGATGAATCACTGTCAGAGCAATTGTCTGTGCAGGAACTATTGCTTTTCTCCTTCTGGATGTTTTTCTGCCTCTCTCGACTTCGTATCTCATCTTCTTCAAACTTGTTAATCATAGATTCCACCACTACCATCATAATGTTCTTCAAGGAATGCATCATTTCTTTATACCTTCAAATTCAAAGTAGAAAACAGACTATCAGCAGAAATTAAAACAGCAAACTTCAATTATATTACTTAATAATTTTTTTCTATGAAAAAGAAACTCTGTAAGAACAGAATATAAAAGATAAAAATCTAAGTTAACTTTTCCTTTTTTATAATTATTTATTTTATTAATTCATTCGTTGATTTTTTTTTTAATTTGATCAGAGAGAGACAGAGGGTGAGAGTGAGAGAGAGAGGAAGTGAGAAAGCAAGCCACCAGGTCCAGGACTTGAACCCCAGTTGGCCATGTGGGAGTGTCCAGCGCCTTAACCACCATGCCACACGCTGGTCCCATAAGTTAACTTTTCTTAAAGAAAAGAAGGTACAACAGAATTCATGAGATAGAAATAAATATTGAGCATCCCACAAGTGTGTTATTTCCTAACTTTTTTCATGTGGTTCTATTTATGGTCCAATCTACAGCAAGATCCTCCAATAGTATCAATTTCAGTTAGAAGAAACAAAGTCAATTTTAAATATCAAGTACCAAAAACCCAGACTACATTACACTTTATTTTTTTCCTTTGTTCTATTTCTCTTTCTCTATCCTCACTTCCTCTGTTTCCTTTCATTCCCTTCTCCCCTATCTTTATTGTATACCTTTAGGCACTCATAGACACATCTAAGACCTGCTATGTAGATCTAGCACCTAAATAAGAATTGGGCCGTCAGTGGGTCCTTTCAAACAGAGGCTAGAGAACCCACCATCAGAGATGTTAGGGAAGGAATTCCTGAAATTGGTAAGAGTTTGAATTGAGAAACTTCAAAGATCCATTTCACCTCTAAAGATATAAATTCTCAAAAAAGAACATACAACTAATTACTCCATTTTTTTAAAATGCAAACCCTTGAACATCCATACTGATATTACAGAGATCCCTAAAAGTCCCAGGATTATAATTTTAGAACAACAACAACAACAAAAAATCCGAAATCTAGTCCTTTATTTTACAAAGAATATGAGGAGACTTAAAAAAGTTCATAGAAATGTGTGTTATGAAAAAACTATGACTGAATTTCAAAAAATTTTGGCACCAACATAAACTCATACTTCAATTCCATTTTTGAAGGAACTTTTAAAAGCCCTATCTTTGTGACTCAAGCCATTGAAATGTCTATATTTAAAACAAAAAAGACATAAAGTAAATAAGCATAGTGAACAAAATACTAAATCTGGAATCACAATGCCTAGATTAGAATCCTTACTATTTTATCTATAAGCTTTATTATCATTAATAAGTCTCAACTTCCTCAAATATAAAAGGAGATGAAACAAATACACTCTAGCATGTCAATTCCATACAGCGATAGGAAGACGTAAAAATGAAAATATATATTGAAAAGGGCTTTGTAAATAAAATACCATACATATATTTATTGTCATAATAATGGATATTCTTTAGGAAAATAATCACAGAAACATCCCTTTCTTTATATTTTCAGTTAACAAATCATTGTAACTGCATATCCAAAAAAAAGCATAAGTTCTCTCTCTCTTTCATTGTAACTGCATAAATCAAAAGATAGATAGGTACTCTCTCACACAATAAAACCGTGTTGGAGAATTTGAACAGATATAGTAAACTGAGATTTTAAATAGGATTTAAAATTGTATTTTAAATTCCATGTTAAGTAAATTATTCAAAATTTTATATAAATTATATTTTAAATTGTTATATAAATTATTCAAAATTTATAAATAATGTAAAATATAGTCATATTTAATATATAATATATACTAAGTAAAACATATTTATATAATATATAACTACAAATTTTATATCATATATATGTATATTTATACATGTATATATAGATATTTTTTTTTTTACTTTTTTTTTTTTTGGAGAGGTTTTTGCTATAGGGCACATGTGCTCGCCAGAAAGACAGAGAGAGACAGAGAGACAGATAGCGAGAAATCACCCCCCAGAGGGGATGGCCATGCCGCAATCCCTTCCCCTCCATTCTCTTCTTGGGATCGTGGGCACGTACACACACGCACCTGGCATGAGTTTAAGCCGCCAGGTCCGGGACTTGAACCGTGGTTGACTATGTGGGAGTCCAGCGACATAGCCATTATGCTAACTGCTGGTCCCGGTGTATATATTTTTTAAGTACCAGAAATTATAAGAAAACACAAAACACTGAAAGTACATGGGAACAGAATAAGAACAATACAGGAGAGAAACATCCATTTTTTGGTTTTTTTTTTTTGAGAGTTTTTTGCTATAGCGTGTATACACTCGCCAGAAAGACAGACAGAGACAGATAGACAGAAAGCGAGAAATCACCCCACAAGGGGATGGCCATGCCACAATCCCTTTTCCTCCATTCTCCTCTCAGGATCTTGGGCCCACACACACACGTGCCTGGCATGAGTTTAAGCCTCTGAGTCCAGGACTCGAACCGCAGTCGACTACATGTGAGTCCAGCAACATAGCCATTATGCCAACTGCTGGTCCCTAGGGGAGAATCGTATCTAAGGGACCTACAACAGAAGTGAGACAGAGTCTAGAAAAGATCCCAATTTAAACTAAAGAGATATAAAGAGTAAGAAGGAATCTTGAGACACTCATTAGATTAATCTGTAAATATATAAAGGATATATATTTATATTTATATATCCCATGAGGCCAAATTTCCTCCTCTACAGGTTCTGAACAGCAAGACAGACAAGAAAGCAACACAATGATGGCAATCAAAATCTACTCACCAAAAGCTGTTCTTTCCTTCCACAGTAGTTAGATTATAGCTGGACACAGGACTAAACCACATATTCCTCAGCCTTCTTTGCTATTAAGTATGGCCATATAAACTACATAAAGACCTATCGCCTTAAAACTTACAATATGGTGAATTAATGAATTAATTTAAAAACAAACCTCAATGATATATAGATAAGAGAAAGGGTAATTAGAATCCAGAGAAAATCTGTAAATTTCACTCAACATAAGTATTTCCAAGAGAGCTTTCTCAATTCTACTGCCAGACCAACCAACAAAATGGCCACAAGGAGAGCTAAGAATAACTGTATAATAAAAAATTTTTTAAAAACCTAGAGTACCAGACCCTCATTACCAAGAGTTAACTACTAGGTCATTAGAAAAGTCATGATACATATTTTTCTATGTAAAAATATGTATCATGACTTTTCCAACAACCCAACAGAACTCAGTAATAGCCATTGCAGTTTCGAAAAAGTTAAAGAGAGATAGGGTAGACTACAGACACCACTGAGTAGATCCTTCATGCTTTGAGAAGTCTTAAATTAACACTATAGAAAGAATAAGTTCTAAGAGGTAGTAAATATTAACAATGAAAGTAAGTACTTCCATTCACAGTGCAATGTACTGTATAATAGATCCTACAAATGAATTCTTCCATGTGCAAACATCTACTTAAATAATAAATATCAAAATGTTTAATTAGGAAAAGACTTTGTAATTATCATAGTAAAGACACTGTTAATGGGTGTCTGTTGCTACATAAGCCTAAGTCATTACAAAAAAATCTCCCCAAAAAAATTTAAAACAAAATACTTTGAATGACTCAAAATCTTTCATTCATGATTCATAAAGCAGACGACAAATATTCACTAAGTCATTTAAAATCTTTGTGAGGTAATTATTACTTTATTAATTTTTACACATGGATGAACTAAAACACAGGAAAATTAAATAGCTTTCCCAGAAATAAAAAGTAATTTCCTAATAGTACCATATAAAACTCTGCTCTTACCATTAGAATACTTTCATTACCTAATAAAGAAGTATTTCATCATCCCTTCTAGAATAAGTTTAGTAATACTGCTAGAAACAGACTATTAGGAATTATAATGTTATCTAGAAATGGAAATGACTTCATTTTTCCTTCTGCAAAATCAAGAAATAAGACATCTTAATTTCTATGGCTTCTTGTTAAATTTATTAATAGCTATACATTATTGCTTTGATATGTAGCTTTTATTTAAATAATATAAATAGGTGCCACAAAGTGGAAGAACTATGCAAAATAACAACAGCAAATAAAAGGTTTAACTATTTAAAAATAAATCAGATTTAGTGCTTTAAAATATAGTTAGTGAGACCAGCAATTAGCATAATGGCTATGTCACTGGACTCCCATATAGTTCATCACGGTTCAAGTCCCAGACCCGGTGACTTAAACTCACACCAGGCGAATACGCATGCGTGCCCAAGATCCCGAGGGGAGAAGGGAGAAGAAGGGTTTACAACATGGCCATCCCCCCGAAGGGCGATTTCTCGCTTTCTGTCTCTCTGTCTCTCTCTGTCTTTCTGGCGAGTGCACGTGTCCTATAGCAAAAACCTCTACAAATAAATAAATAAATAAAACAGTCAATATAAACTCAGGTACATATTCAAATTTCTCTGATACTACACAAAAGCTGTTTTTGTAGCTTTTATTTTTTAAGTGAGAGTGAGAGACAGAAAAAAAGGAAGAGAAAGACAAGCACCCCCCAACAGGGTCTCACACTGAAACCCACCTCTAAATCTCTGAGTCAGCCAGGATCATAGATCTGTCTACCTGGTGTGCACAGGTCAACTGAAGAATCAAAGTTATGAGCTTCCACACTAATCAAGCATCACTTAAATAGCACTTTACCACTGCACCACCCAACTGACTACAATGAGTTGTAGTCTGAACTTTGACACTTGCATTCAAATTGGAAAAAGAAGCAGCCATGATGGCCTAGCATGAAAAAAAAACTAGATACCAGGGACCAGCAGTTAGCGTAATGGCTATGTTGCTGGACTCCCACATAGTCGACCGTGATTCGAGTCCCGAACCCGATGGCTTAAACTCCTGCCGGGCGCATGTGCATGCGTGCCCAAGATCCCAAGAGGAGGATGGAGGAGAAGGGATTGTGGCATGGCCATCCCCTCTGGGGGGTGATTTCTCCCTTTCTATCTGTCTGTCTCTCTCTGTCTGTCTGGCGAGCGCACGCGCCCTATACCTAAAACCTCTCCGAAAAAAAAGAAAAAGAACAAAAAAGAAAACTAGATACCAGAAAACACCTCCAGATATCACATGTGTCCAAGTACTAAAAAAAGGATTAACAAAGCAAATGTCATATGCCCAAATCGACATCAAAAATAAATTTGTGGGATTCAAATTAATAAAAGAACTTCATTGTAAATAAAAAATAAATAAAAATCTGATTAGACTAAAAAATTGTTGGTCAGCAGGTGGTATGATAGTTAAGGTACTGAAACCCACATGGCTGACTATACAGTTCAAATCTTAGAGCTGGCAACTTGAAACAAATGCTGGGTGCATGAGTGCGTGTGCCCAGAATCCTGACAGGAAAATGCAAGAGAAGGTAATTTTAGCATCGCCATTCCATCTGGGGGTGATTTCTCATTAGGTACACTAGTAAGCATGAATTGAAAAACTAGAAAACCATTCTACTGCCCATCCTGCCCTTTATAGCCTTAAAGTCTCCTGTCACTTTGTGTTATAAGGAATGAACTGGGTGGGGGAAAGAACTTCCATCATATGCCAAGGGTTCAAAGGTAATTAAAATGACAAATATCCAAGTACCTGAACTTAAATACAAAGGAACTTCAAAAAGTTTGAGAACAGACCAGCAAATGGTGTTGCTGGACTCCCACATAGTTGACTGTGGTTTGAATCTCAGATCCAGAAGTTTAAAACTCACACCAGGAGAATATGTGTGAGTGCCCAAAATTCTGACAGGAAAATGGAGGAGAACAGATTGTCATGTGGCCATCCCCCATGCGGGGTGATTTCTCACTTTCTGTCTCTCCAGTAAGTGCACGCGCCCCTATAAAAAAAAACCCCCCTAAAAAAAAAAAAAAAAAAAAAAAAAAAAGTTTGTTTAAAAATGGAACTAAAATGAGTTTTATTTTGATGCAAAAAAATTTTGAAATACTGTATAGTTTTTCCATAATACTCATATTCCATGAACTTTCTGAACCCCTTATACTATATAGCACAGTAGTTTGTGACAATTCAATGTATATTTCAAAATATCTAGAAAAGAGGATTTTGAATGTTATTAAGACAAACTATTGATAATTAAAATGATGGATATGTTTATTGCCTTGATTTGATCATTATATATTATATATGTGTTTTGAAAAACCACACAATACCCAAAAAATATGTACAATTATTATATTGGATTATAGGAAAAGTCATGGTGCATTTTTGCATAGAAATATTACATCATGACTTTACTAACATCCTAATATGTCAATTTAAAAATATGATTTTTTTTGAGAGGTTTTTGCTATAGGGCATGTGGGCTCGCCAGAGACAGAGAGATAGAAAGCAAGAAATCATCCCCCCCCAGGGGTCATGGCCACACCACAATCCCTTCTTCTCCATTCTCCTCTTGGGATCTTGGGCACACATGCACACGTGCCCAACATGAGTTTAAGCCACCGGGTCCAGGACTTGAACCGTGGTCGACTACATGGGAGTTCAGCAACATAGCCATTACACTAAGTGGTGGTCCCAAAACATAATTTTTTTTAAAAAAAGAAGACATTAAATATCAAAAAAGTAAAGGAGTTGCCCAGCTACAATGTTACAGGCAGTAGAGCACTACTGTGGAATACTGAAACCATGTGGGAAGACCCTAAGTTCAAATCCTTGGTTGATGAGAGCATGCTGCCCACAAACATACCCATGAACCTGGCTGGCTAGAAAGCTGTGAGCAGCGGGGAGAGATTGCTGTATGGTACAACCCTGTTAAGGATTCCTATCTGTAACTCCATCTCATGAAAGGAATAAATAAGCTTTTGAAAAAAGTGAAAGAACAAGTCACTTAAATACTTAGAAAAGGACATTCTAGGTAGAGGAAGTAACATTAGTATAAATCCCTATGGGAGGATCTTACTGGAAATGAGAAAGAGCAAGAGAAAGAAATGAGGAGAGGGAAAAGGCTTATGGCCAGTCTTGTTGGGAGCAGAAGGCCTACAGCCAGTCTTGTTGGCTACAAGAAAAATCTGGATTTTACTCTGCATAAAATGGGAAAGCCTTTGGAGAGTTTTGAATAGAAGGACATCGTGGTTTGGCTCATTGTTTTAAAGAACCCTTCCAGCTGCTATGAAGAAACTGGACTGTGGGAGGCATGGGTTAGAGGTGCTGTCAAGAAGCCCTGTTGAGAGAAAAATAACTTTAAAATATTACTGTGGGCATACTCACTCTTTAGATTCCTGAGTTCTTTTAGTAACGTGTTGTACAACTGTGTCATAGCCAGATTCCTCACCCTGGTTCTGAGTGGATGTGCATTTTTCCATTTCTTCTTCAATCATAGACCCCAAAGTATTGCATATATGCTGTCTCAGGTATTTCACAAATTCATAGCTGAAACAATTATTTAAAAAATAAATTCAGTAAATATTATGAACCCACATATCCAGAAAAAAATAACTGTTAACATAGAAAGGTTTGTAACATATGAAGATCTCTTAGCTTAAGCTAGGATTAAACTGATCATTCATTGTACATCATCAAAAACTAATTTAGAATTTTTTTCCCCAAGATATTTGGCAAAGATTGTCATTTAAAGATTACCACAGCAGGGCAAGTGGGGAGAGGAATGCAAGGGCCAATTTCAGGGGCAGCTCAAACATTGGTAAGTTCAGGGTCTATCTCATTTTTTTTTATGCTTTTATCTTTTAACCTGGTGAAGAGGAAAGATAGAGTACTTTGTTAAAGATTTTTAACCTGAGGCTAGCAGGAGGTATGGTGATTACAACACTAGATTCCCACGTAGCCAACTGCAAGACCTGGCAGCTTGCAAGCCATGCCAGGTGCATATGCGTGTATGCCCAAAATCCCAGGAGGAGAAGGGATTGTGGTGCAGCCACCACCAAAACAGAACAGTATTTACAGTATTCATGTACATTTTGCAAGTAGTAACTGGCCTAAACTCCACCTAAACAGTTTTTATTCATGTTTTGCAAAGCAGATAATTTTTTATAAAACATATTTACTGAAAATACAGGCAATAAGTATAATGAATACTATTTAGATTGGTCAAAATTTTTGTAGTCTCGGGACCAGCAGTTAGCGTAATGGCTATGTTGCTGGACTCCCACGTAGTCAAACACAGTTCAAGTCCCAGACCCGGTGGCTTAAAGTCATGCTGGGCACGTGTGTGTGCATGCCCAAGATCCCAAGAGGAGAATGGAGGAGAAGGGATTGCGGTGTGGCCATCCCTCCTGGGGGGTGATTTCTCGCTTTCTGTCTCTCTGTCTCTCTCTGTCTGTCTAGCGAGTGCATACGCCCTATAGCAAAAACCTCTCCCAAAAAAAAAAATTTGTAGTCTCATAAATAATAAAGATAAATGAAAGATTGGCCAGCTTCGTAAATTCCACTATATTCAAGGCTTCAAAGCAAAGTGAATTTCACTATTCAAGAGTTTTACATGCATATATGCAGGGCAGGAAATCAAGGAGAACTTGAATAATTTACTTTCCACAATTATGAGTACATCATAATACCCAGCATATAGTCTTCAGTCCAATATTAATGAAATGAATGCATTTCTCTGAAGGACAGCTACTTTACCCTAGTACTCAAAAAAATTCATCTTTCATTTTAACTGCTTTTGCTAACAATTTCCTGTCCTACCCAAGTCTTTTCACCTCTGAACACCTCACTACTTCCTGGAATTCACATAGCTACCTCAGTACTGTTAAGTGGCAGGTCTACCAAAGTCAGGTACAAATATTTGACATAAAGCTACATGGTATTACAGCAAAAGTACAAGCCTAGAATCACAAAGGCCTGAGAGCAGCACTAACTCTACCATTTATAAGTGTGTGACCCTGGCAATCATCATATCTATTTGATCCCATTCTTTGGAAGAATTAAGGAAACAGTAGACAACATATTTAAACACTATGAAAAAGAGGAGTTTGGCCAATGTATTCTCTGTTCCCATATGGAGCTTCAATTTCAGATTCAATTAAAAAAAAAAGTTGATATCTTATTTATTTATTTATTTATTTATTTAGTAGACAAGGTCTTATCGTCTTGATCCTCCTGCCTTAGCCTCCTTAAACTGCTACAGATGCACATGTGACTTGGCTTTTAGGTTGGACCAGGAATAGAACCAGGAATAGAACCCCTCCTATGTGGTTCCAGCCTGTGAGTACAACATCTTAACAGTGCATACCACCACACTGGGCCCAAACAGGTCATTTCTTTGGCTATTCCTTTGGTCCAAATCCCTCTCTGGAAAGCCAGACCTGTACATTAACTGCCTGCTGGACAAGGCTACCTTGTTTCTTCATCATATCTAAGTCAACATAACCAAAATCGAATTCATCATTTTACCCACCCACTCACAACCTTCTCTCCTGACTTAATATGTCTCTGTTAATGGCACCATCATCCATCTAGACACCTGTATATAAAGTCTCAAAAAGCTTAACTACAAACTTCTCCATTAAACTCAAACCTAATGCAAGCTCTTTAATCCTACAGTTCTTCCCCCACAACTTTTTTCCCTTCCCACTGCTTTTTGATTAATGTTCACATCTATATAATCTTTAGCTAAACTGCAAGATAAGGACTCTGAGGGTATCCTATAAATCAGTGGTTCTCAAACTATAATATGGGACAGAATCATCTGCTTGGCCCCAATCTCAGAGCTTTTGACTGGTAGATATGGAGTGGAGCCCAAGAATTTACATTTTAAACTAATTATTTGGTGATGACAATGCTGATGGTGCTGATTTCAATACCATAATATGAGAACCCCTCATATAGACAGAATCTGTTCAGATCGTTCATAAACTATCTTGAAGATCATGGACCTCCAACTACCAAATTTCTACTCCAAGAAACAATATTAACCCAAATTATCGAAGAATGATTTTACATTAGTTGCATTATATTAAAAATACTGGGCCAGCCAGTGGCATGGTGGTTAAGTCAGCAGGATCCCACATGACCAGCTGCAAAGTTCAAGTCTTGGACCTGGCGGCTTTGGAAACATACTGTGCACATGTGTGTATGTGCCCAAAATCCTGAAAGGAGGGAGATGAAGGAGAAGGGACTACAGCATGACTATTCCCCCATAGAGATGTTTCCTCATCTTCCCCCCCTTTCTGTCTCCCTGGCTAGTATACAAATCCTCTGGCAATTTCAAATGTGTGTGTGTGTGTGTGTGTGTGTGTGTGTGTGTGTACGTACATATATACGGGTGTATATACATATATATACATACACACATATATATTTAAATATGTTGGATCATTTTATAATCCTTTAATTTATTTCAATTAACAGAGTATCAACCATAACTTATTATTAAATCAGCAGCTCCTGACGTAGTTTTAGAAGTAACATAGTGTTAGTTTTTCATTTCAGCTCCTCCACTTATTAGCTATTTGAGGCTGTCCAAATTAAATATCTTCTTTGGACTTTTCAAAAAATTTATAAAATAGAAAAAGTGGTGTCTATCTTAGAAATTATTAAATTTTAGTTTCCCACTATGTAATGATAATCCAAATGTGAAAACTGTTATTTATTACATAGTATCTTCTTCTACTTACACATTGTTCACAACAAATATACTATAGTTATATTTGATTAGCCTTATTTACAAGTAATTTAATGAAAAACATTAAAATATGCTTTCAATAACACAAGGAATACAAAATATATTCTTCAAAATATTCCTAATAATTTAATGAAGTAATTACAAGTAATTTAATGAAAAACATTAAAATGTTATTTCAGTAATGAAAGGAATGCAAAATATATTCTTCAAAATATTCCTAATATTGGGAACCAGCAGTTAGCATAATGGCTATGTCGCTGGACTTCCACGTAGTCGACCACAGTTCGCATCCTGGACCCAGTGGCTTAAAACACGCTGGGCGCGTGTACGTGCGTGCCCAAGATCCCGAGAGGAGAATGGAGGAGAAGGGATTGCGGTGTGACCATCCCCCCTCAGGGGTGATTTCTCGCTTTCTGTCTCTATGTCTCTCTCTGTCTGGCGAGCGCACGTGCCCTATAGCGAAAAAATCTCTCCAAAAAAAAATATATTCCTAATATTAAAACCTTAGACAATTGTGTGCCAATAAGGAATAATATGTGGCCATCACCACATTTCAGAAACAGCTCTACTAAAATGCATAGTAATGCATCTGATCACTTTGCTTCATTACTGATGAATATGAATTTTTTCATATTTGCATAGGAAAATTTTACTATGTTGAGTAAAAGAACATTCACTTTTCCATTATTTTTTTCCAGCTTTATTACCAAAATTAAAAAAAAAATATTTTTTTCATGATGAACTTCTGACATGTTCACAACTTTTATATCAATACATGCAGACATGCAAAGATTACTATTATAAACTAAGTATATACTAATTTAATTAGAATCTAGAAAATCATCTTTTAATCTATTTAAACAAGAAATATTTCAATTATAGAAAAATTATCACTAATAAAGCTTTAAAAGTATATTTCATTAGAGTAAGTTATGAGTGTTTATAATTGAAGAATTCTTAAAATATTTCAGAGTCATACGGTTTAGTAGCAAGACAAACTTAACTTTATCATAATAGTGTGTAAAAGGTTATGTAACATAAAAAAACAGGTATTTTATTTCTAAACATTTTAGGCCAAAGAATATGCTTCTGACTCACTATAAACCATCACTAGAAATGCATTCATTAATTACAGAAGCACACACATAATCTTTGGTAATTTTTCTATACAGGTGTATCACTCTACAGAATAAATCTTTCCTTAAAGTTGTCACTTAAACACACAAGAGCTCAATAATTTAAAATACCACTGATAAATTTTTCTGTAAAACAAAGAATAAAACCAATTCAATAAATATTAATGTGTTCCTTCTATATCAAGCCAAAAATATATGATTACAAAGGTGAGTCTCAGCATTGCAATCTGTTACAATCATTAAGATTGCTAGATATTTAAAAGATTATTATTATAATGTAATTCTCATGGAAATGTTGGTAATTATACTTTAACTCTGTGGTCTCAACTCTGTCTATACAGAATTATCTCAAGAGCTTTTTCAAAAGTACCACTGCTCAGCCTCAACCACTCACACTCTGCCAAGCACTCACCAGGAAAGTTTTGTTCACCTGTGCTGAGGCTCAAGCACATGTTTGCTGTTTGTTTGTTTTTTTATTAAATGACCCCCGACTGCTTCTAGTGTATCAACGTTGAAAAACAGTGCCATTTCATTGATAGGGGTCAGTCTAAAAAAATTACAGAGCACTGGAGCAAGCAGGTGGCCTAGAAGTTAAAGCAATTAGATTCCACATGGCCAACCACATAGTTCAAGTCCCAGATCCAGAGGCTTAAATATTACACCAGGCACACATGCATGTGCATGCCCAAAGTCCCAAGAGGAGAACAGAAGAGAAAGGACTGTAGTGTGGCAATCCCCTTGGGAGAGTACTTTCTCACTCCTCTCTCTCTCTCTCTGAAGGGTGTATCCACCCTACAACAAACTAAAGAAAAATATTACACAGTATGTATGCACATAATGAAAGCAATGTACTATCTCTCTCTCCCCCCATCAGAGGTCTCGAAATATTGTTTCCATTCTTAAGAAAAAAAAAAAGGGTAAAGTAGACATTTTAATGAATAAGTTAAAAAAAAAAAAAAAAAAAAACAAGAGGCTCTGTACAACAGTGAGAGGTTAGCTGTCTCATGGGACAAGTGCCTAGATAGGGCTGCACTCCCTACAGTCATTTCTCCCCAAATGATTACATTTTCCCCATTATTTTTATAATCCTATCTGAAATTCAATTATTTGTGGACTAAATGGACTTTAAAATCATCATTTTACATAAATGTTAGTAGCTCAGAAACATATTTCTTCCATAAATCTATTTTAAAAATTATTTTTCTCATTGATAACAAGACATCAAGTAGATTTAAGAAACCAACGTTCTTATATTTATTTATTTATTGCCAGAGGGTACATGCACTTGCCAGAGAGAGACAAGAGAGAAAGCACCCCAGGGAGACATGGTCAAGCCACCATCCTTTCACTCCATTTCTCTATCCCATCAGGATGTGGGGCACACATGTACACAGGTCTTACATGGTTTCCTAGCTTCCAGGGTCAGGTTTCAAATGCACTTGGTCATGTGGGATCCAGCTCCCAATACTCAGCACCTAACAACTGCACTATAGGGACAGGATAAGACCAATATTGTGACAGTAGAGATGGAGAGATGAGTATTACTGCATCAAAACCATTAAGTGTCCAAAGAAAGTAAATTCGGGGGGAAAAAAGATTAGTGGAAAGATGAGCACCAAGACTAGTCACCCTTCAAGATCCCATCCAATTCAGATGCCCAAAGAATTTTATGATGATGCCAAAAATAAGCATCTCCTCCTTTTTTCCTTTCCTGCTAACTGTTCCCGCTACCTAAGACACAGATCTCAGGCTAGTACAGGTCATGAATTTTACTGTCTTTACTTCTGAGTAAAAACTACCAATAGGATTATAAGGCTTACTTTTAAGACTGCAAAATAGCTGTAACTTGAATCTATAATTTTTTTAGGCAGGTAATGAGTACATCCCCAGTAAACAGCAACTATTAACTAAGTCAATCAGCAAGCATTTAATTAATCTACCTAATGAACTGTTGAGGAACTTTAAATTACAGAATTAGAAGAAACATTAGACTTCTGAGAGGGACTACAATTAATATTATTAACTTGAATAACATTTTTAAAACTAGTATAGTTAAAGCTATACTTATAGGCAAAAGGGTCACCCTAAGTGCTTGTATTAAAGAAGCTGCAAATTAATAACCTAAACATTCCTCACAAAAAATTTAAAATATTTCCTAAGAGGGAAAAAAAAATGAAGAGCAAAAATTAAAGGAACAATAAATATAGAGAAAACACACACATAATATAAAGGGAAGGAAAAAAAAAATCACACCAAAACTGGGACTTTGGAAGACTAATAAGATTTATAAATTTCTGCCCAGCCAATGGCATGATGGTTAAGGTGGCTAGATCCCATATGGCCAACCATGCAATTTAAGTCCTGGACCTGGTGGCTTGAAAAACAAACTGGGCACAAGTGCACGTGTGGCCAAGATCCTGAAAAGTGGGAAATTAGGAAGGAAAAGGGATTGCAGTATGGCCATCTCACATGAGGGGGTGCTTTCTTACTTCCTCTATCGCTCTCTCTTTCTTTCTAGAGAACACACGTGCTCTCTGGCAAATATTTTTTTAAAAAAAGAAGAAAAGATTTATAAATTTCACATGACAGATCAAGAGCCACAAAGGGAAGACACAAATAAAAATGAGACCTAACTACAAATACTGAAAATATTAAAAAGATAAAAGACAGTAATGAAAAAGTTTGGAAAAATAAATGTGAAAATCTAGATGAAATGGACAAATTCCCAGACTAGATCTCAGCAAAACCTGACTAAATAATTTACAATTATTTGGGTCAGGTCATGGTCCAGCCATAATGCAGCATTCTTCAAGGCTGACCCACATGGGAAGGATCCAAACGTGAATCCAGAGACCTAAAGCACCCAGAGCATGTATGTGTCCATGATCTGGGGCTAGCTAAAATTAAGGATGAATCTTAGCATGAAAATCCTTTTCGGATGCCTGTCTCTCCCTCTCTTTCTGTCCCTCTCACTCACTCACAGAAAAAAAGAAACTTTTATAAAATTATAAACTATTCAAGGACCAGCAGATGGCATAATGGCTACGTCGCTGGACTCCCATGTAGTCGACCGCGGTTCGAGTCCCGGACCTGGTGGCTTAAACTCACGCTGGGCGGCGGGGGTGCGTGCATGTCCAAGATCCCGAGAGGAGAATGGAGGAAAAGGGTTTGCTGTGTGGCCATCTCCTCAAGGGGTGATTTCTCGCTTTCTGTCTTTCTGTCTCTCTCTGTCTTTCTGGTGAGTGTACTCGCCCTATAGCAAAACCTTTCTTAAAAAAAAAAAAAAAAAAAGAAATTACTATTTAAACAACTATTTGCATGTGAAATAAATACCAGAAATGCTTGATGTGGATTTGCTGTGAGGTAAATTACCATCAGCATAGCTTATAAAACATTATAATCAAACACATATTTAAGAAAGTTCCAATTTTTCTATATTCTACTGTTTAAGTAATAAGTCAAAACTCTGGCATCTCCACAATAAAGATTATTATCATCCAATATCAGCTATTAGATGATAATATTAATTCCACAGTAGTAGAATTAATTAAATGAACAAGAAAATCATAGAAATACAAAAGAAATCCTATGTATAACCAGAAATACTAAAAAAATTAGAAACTTTGTATTAAAAATATTACTTTCACAATTATTAAAATTTCCCTGTGAATCTGGTGAAAACTGAACACTGCCCCCCTATAAAACTGCAAGTAAACACAAACTTTTGCATAAAATTTTAAAGGCCACAAGGATTCCTGATGTCCTTATGTGATATTTACAAGAGTTCCAAATAAGTACATCTTCAGGGCACCAAAAGTCAATAAAAATAATACAAGGAGAAAAAAATCTAAATGTCATCTCTGTGAATTCAAAATAAAATGTAAACACTGAATGAAAAATACTACTGCTTGAGCAGGCCCCACAGCACGGCAGTTAAACTGTGCATAAGGAACTGGTTCCCAGTCGCCAACCACACTTTAAACACCAAGTATGTGTGTACACACGCCCCAAACCTTGACCAGGTGCAGAACTGGAGGAAAAAGACAGCAGCTTGACCATGCCCCACGAAGGGGTGTTCTCATTCTTTCTCTCTCTCACTTACTCTTTGACAATAAAAAATAAAGAACTAGGGCCAGAAGGTGACGGATGGATAAGGTCCTGTATTCCCACATAGCCAAGGAGGGCTGCTTGAGTCCTAGAGCAGATGGCTTGAAAATCACACCAGGTGTATGTGTGCATGCCCACCACCACCCCCCCAAAAAAACCTATACTATTAATAATGAATTAAAGCACTTAAGACAGACTTTTAAATTGGAAGACTTAAATTATTATGAGCCAAGTTAAAAAGAAAAAGGAAATAAAAAAATCACAGGTTTCAAAGATTTTCAAGGTTTTTAAATCTTTAAAGGTCCTCTAAGTCTTCAAAGACCCTTCAAAATCTACCTCAAATAGCATTTCTCTCATTAAACTTACTCAACTACTCTCACAAGCTGAGCACCCATATCTCTTCTATGCAGCTCCATGTTTCTGACATGTATCACAGACATTTGCTATGTGCCATAGCCCTTAGTAGGAATTTAAACTTTTCCTGAAGAAACTAATAGTCTCCTCATTTTAGTATTCCTTTATAGTGCTGACTGCCTAACTAGTGCAGTCACTAAAATATCAGATCAACAAACAAGTATTACTTTCATATATAAATACTTCTCAATAACCCTACTAAAATAACTTATAAAAACACATATTTACATGTATGTATCTTTAGGCCGCATGTTTTAATCACATATTTTCAAATTAGCTACTTTCCACAAACTTAGGGACCACTGCTTTTAGGTATAGACAAGAACTCTTTGAACTCCTATTCTTTAACGGGACAATTAACAACACTGTGTTGGGTGGGCAGTGGAGAATCAGGATATAATCGTCGTGACAGTTTAAACCTAAGAGGAGACAGAGCTTTGGAAAATGAGAATTATAAGTAAGTTCGGCATCGAGTAAATAAAACATGAACCAGCTAGAGCACTATTTAACAATAATAATCAAATGAACATTATTTAACTACACTTTGACATTTTCTGAACCAATGGCTTTATTGCTTAAGACAGCAAAAGCAATATTACTTGTGAAAATTTTCATCAGTTTCCTCCAGATGTAAAAGGATCTCCTCGGCGCACTCCAGGGAGGAAGCACCCGTGATTTTCTCCTTCACGCTCTGGAACAGCTGCCTCAGCATGGCCTGCAACACCGCCTCGTCCTCGCTGGAGAAATGGGCCATCCTCTGTTGGAATCAAACGCCCACTCCCATTACTTCGGAGCCGAGAAACACCGCACACTGCGCACGCGCCCCCACCCAGCCCCGGCCTGCGCGTAGCGTCGTTCCCTGGGAAACCGAGGCGAGCGCTCGGGGGTGGGCCCTCATTTGCCGGCGCGCCATTCAAAAAACACAAATCACCTTACTTTGGAGGAGCAGGGGTCCACGAGGCCCCGCCTTTGGTACTCGTAGTCAGCTTCCAGTACCAAGAGAGCGCAGACGGCTGCCACTACCGGCGGGAAAGACGTCCAAGATCACTGTGATGGGAGGGCCGGACCGCGGGAAGTACGCGCCGTACGTGACGTCAGCTCGCCGCGCTTCTTCCTGGGCGGGAGAGAAGGCCAGTAGGTGATCTGAAAAACCGGGTCCTTAGGTGCGCTTTGTCTCTCCAACCTTAGCGTTGTAGGTTGGAGAGAAAAGTATACGAAGAGAAAGAAGTCAATAAAGGAAAAACAATACGAGTAAAATTAAAAATAGCGTGGAAAGTTTCGATTGGAGAGTAAATGTCATTGAAATATTGCTGTATTGTTTTTCCTCATAGCTAATACCCATTGAGCCCGGGCGCGGGGGGTGAGGGATATTTGATCCTGAAGAGCACCTTGCTAGGAGCTATGAAGAAGAAAACGCCCTTATAATTCTAACAGACATAAAAAGAAATTAATGATCACAGTACAGTGCAGTTGGTACCATGTTGGGGAAACACCAGGTAAAAGCGTGGAAACCCAGAATTATGGTTTAATGTAATGGAGAAATGGAAAGAAAACCAAGCATAAATTGGACATGCAAAGAATAGGGGCCTGAAAGTGTATGGTATTCAGGTAATTGAGATAATAGGGTCAGAAAAGGGAACTAAGGAGGCTGGGAAAGTAAATTGGCCATATCTGAGTCATGTTTGACAGTTAAAGGGATTAGGGATATATCCTACAACTAGGACACAATTAGCTTCCAAAGAGACATCATGCAATATTATATACAAAGACCACGCTGTCAGTAGCTGCAGTTAATAATCATGATCCCTCATCCAGTTACCAACCTGGATAAATCCCAGAACCATGCTCATGTCTGAAAAAGAGGAGCTATCCCAGGAGAACATTAGAATCAGATGCTGATATCAACACAATAATCAGTCACAAGGCACTGATGGGTGGTTCAGTGTCAAATTCTCCCTTATCCAGCCTTATATTTTACTGCCCTGGTATTAGATACACTTCCTATGTTAGCCAGGATCAATTACTCCTTTGATGTTAAACTGTTCCCAGAACAAAACAATGATATATCTTTGCCAGTTTTTTGTGTTTTTTTTTGTTTTTTTTTGTTTTTTTTTGAGAGGTTTTCACTATAGAGCGCATGGGCTCGCCAGACAGACAGAGACAGAGAGACAGAAAGCAAGACATCACTCCTTTGATGTTAAACTGTTCCCAGAACAAAACAATGATATATATCTTTGCCAGTTTTTTTTTTTTTTTGAGAGGTTTTCGCTGTAGGGTGCGTGCGCTCGCCAGACAGACAGAGACAGAGAGACAAAAAGCAAGAAATCACCCCACCACCACCACTCCACTCCCCTCACCCCCCCATGGCCACGCCCAATCCCTTCTCCTCCATTCTCTTTGGATCTTGGGCATCTGGGCACATGTGCCCAGCATGAGTTTAAGCCACCAGGTCCGGGACTCAAACTAGGGTCGACTACGTGGGAGTCCAGCGACATAGCCATTATGCTAACTGCTGGTCCCTATCTTTGCCAGTTCTAATGGCAGATCTCTTGGTCAACTGTATGCTTAACTTGATTGTTTCACTACTATATGAGGAAAAAAGATATTAGCAAAGTAGCATATTAATAACTTCATGAATGATGCTATGAAACCTAATATGTGTATGTGCACCTGTGTGTGTACCCAAACACCAATATTAAGATAGTCATTAATGATGTAATTTTTCTAAAATAGTAAATAAACTATTGGCAAAATTAAAAACAAAAAATACTGGATTATTGAAAAAGTCATGACGCATTTTTACATAGAAAAGTATGTCATGATTTTCCCGATGACCTAATAAATTCTTTCCTTGATTTACATGGTTTTCACCCAATAAATAACATTCCTCTTTCCACATAGGCCATAACTAACAAATAGGTGACATAGAGATCAGACAGCTAAAGATAAAATAACAACTCTATTAAAATTGAGTTGGGTATGACTTTTGTTTGTGACATAGCCATCTTGCTAACATTTCACCTCTAATTTAGAATTTATCCACTTACTCTCTTGCATAGCTATATAACAGCAGGCTACCATTACAGAGACAGGAATGGACATAGCCCATGCATTCTATACATAGACTGGTCTTAAACATCAAAAGGAAGGCCAGTCCTATAACATAGTAGTTAAGGGAGCAAGATGTTTTATAACATATCATGGTTCAAATCCTATCCAGTGGCTTGAAAAACATGCTGGGCATGTGTGTGTACCCTAAATCCTGACAGGATGGAGAAATAGAGAAGGGATTATGTATGGCATGACCACACCCCATAGAGGAAGAGGGTGCTTTCTCCCTCTCCCTCTCCCTCTTCCTCTCTATCTCTCTCTGGCAAGTGCATGTGACCTCTGGCTTATAAATAAAATCAATTAATCAGTCGATAAAAGAATAACAGAATTGAGACATACTCTGTCTTTTTCTTCCAGAGTCACTGATCATCTCTATAAAATCACTTAGTAGTCATCTACTAATCAAACATACATAAGACCTCTGCTATGTGCCAAGTGCTTTTTTATATGGAATGGTAGATTCAATGACAATAAGATAAGTAAGATGAGACTGCAATCCTCACTATATATCCTCACTATCCTGATATAGTTCACAGTCCAATAAATGAGCCATTTCACATATGAGAATTATGTATATAAATAATTAGAAAAGTTGATACATACAGTCTGCCTGTTTTAAGTATGCTTTTTTATTTCATTCAAGAGAGAAGATACAGACATCCCATCACACCATGATCCATTTGCATTTTAGCTGGCCTAGATCACAGGCACATGAACCCAAGCCCTTTCCTATGTGGTTCCAGTTGGGTTACCACTGCACCACTATCTGACCCCTACATGTTGTCTTGACTGATTTCCTCTAGTTCCAGGAAATGTTGTATGGGGAGACCTTTCAATTATCAATTATTTGCTCATATAAAGATAGTAGTTTTGTTGGTTTTCCATTAATCTTAGCATATATTCATTCATCAGAATAGTTATGACACATTTTTGCATAGAAAAATACATCATGACGTTCCTGATGACCTAACAATACTAATGATCATCTAAGTAAAAATTTAATAAAATGTGTAAGTTAAATTCTCCAGTTAGGCTATATTTACCCCTTTTGCCATTTTTGAAATCTATTTTACAGATAAAAATTTACAACAGCCTTTGTATTTTGTAATTTTTGGTATTATTCATTTATTTAATTAGTTATTTTCTTTTTGATTAATTAATTTATATTGATTCACTGAGCTTCGTCACAGTATACAAAATGTGATTTCCCATCCAGAATATATGGCATAGTGACCTAATCATAAATGCTATTGTCGATAATTTTCCATTTCTAGCTTCATATGTGTATATATACATATATATATATATATATATGTCTGTATGTATGTATATATATTTTCCCCCTGTTTCTCATACTCTGCCATTTCCCACTCTCCTCCCACACCATCTCTGGTGTCTACACTTGTTTTCCATTCCTTTATTTCCCCACATTATATTGATTCACAAAATTTCTTAAATAATTTAACTACTTTCAATAACAAGTTCAGCTGATGTATACATATCTGTGAATACATGTCTGACTTTAGGCATGAAACTCTGAGTAAAATGAATATACTATAAAGAAGCACTTAGCTGATGCTATCTAACTTACTATAGTCAATAATCAGGTATTATTTTTATATATTTTTTAATTTCAAGAAAAGCAGTTTTAGCTTTAATAAATTAAAGAAATGCTAAAAAAAACTTTGCTTAAAACTTAAAGCCAGGAAACAGTTCAGGATTGTGTTCAAGTAGTAGGTACACGAACTTATACACACTTCAAGAGAAGACAAAAACAGTTAACTCTGGAAAACAAAGCATAGAAGAAAATCATTAATGTTTTAGTCAAAAAGTCATAAGATTACATTTCACCAGTTCACTCTCATGTACTGTATCTTCTATTATGATCTTATCTTTCCATTCAACTCCAGACTTTTCCCTACCATTAAGTTGGCCATTTTCTTAGTTGTTTTTGAACTCTTATTTCTGTGTGTCTGTATTTAGGTTTCCTGATATAACACTCCCTTCAGAACTTCTTGGAGAACTTGTCCAATGTCGGTGAATTCTTTCAGGTTTTGTTTACTTGCGAATGGTCTTGACTTTTCTTCCTATATGAAGGATAATCTTGCTGGGTACAAAATTCTTGGTTGAAATTGCTTTTCCCTTAACACTTTGAATGTATTTTCCTATTCTTTCATTGCTTGCATTGTTTCTGATAACAGATTCACTGTTAGCCTGATGGGATATCCTTTGTAGGTAACTTGCCATTTTTCTCTTGCCAAACTTAGTATCTTGTCTTTATCTGTGGTCTTGGTTAATCTGGCTATGATGTGTCTTAGAAAAGATCTTCTTGGGATCAATCTGGCTATAATGTGTCTTGGAGAAAATCTTCTTGGGTTGATTCTATTTGGGGTCCTTTGTATTTCTTGGGACTGGATTTTTTATTTCAATGCCTGTCTAGGTTTAGGAGATTTTCTTCCAGGATTTCAATGTAATAGATTATCAATACCCCTACGAATCTTTTTGCCTTCTGGAATACCAATTATCTGAATTTTTGGATGTTGATAATATCTAGTATTTCTCATATATTTTTCTCATTTTGGGGGGCAATTTTCTCAGTCTTTGTGGTGAATTTTCTTAGGCCAGTGAATCTATCTTCTACATCTGAGATTTGATTTTCTATATGACCTAGTCTGCTTGTAATACTTTCAAAGGAGATTTTGACTTCCTTATTATAGCATTCATCTCTAACAGTTCCGTTTGTTTCTTTTTTATGGTGTGTATTTCCTCTTTCAGATCTTGTAAGAATTTCCTCACCTCCTGGAACTCATCAGCTCCTTTCTCCTTTCTCTTCTGCAGTTCATTGTCTCTCTTCTCTTCCATCTCTGTTAGCTTTGTCACTAGAAAGAAAGGTATTTTCTTGCTTTCCAAATTTTCTTGTGACCCTGCAGTGATATCTGGTCATCTGATGGATTGTGTGTTTCTTCCTAATTCTTGAAGTTCAATCTGAGCATTCAGAGGCATGCAGGAGGAAATGATCTGCA